GGTCATTGATGAGCATTAAAAGCAAAAGTACAATTCATTAAAAACTCAGTTCGTTCTCCGACATTATCTTGATGCCGTAAAAGAATGAAATGAGTTTGAAATTATAGAATATTATTGATGTGACGTTTCTTGTATTATAATAAGAGTTATGCCAACTTAACCCATCAAATTTGCTTAAGTTAAGCTAACTTCAAGATAATCGCCTACATCAAGCTTAATTTAGGCCAAATTAAGCTTAATGTAGGCCAAAATATTAAACTAATCGTAATGGTAAATCAAAAAATTATTGTCAGAAATTTTAATTATTTTAAGAATTTTATAATTTTTTACCTATGCGATGTATCGCCACTTATAAGATCACGTGTAATGTTAAATCAAAATAATAAAAAAATTGCATTAGTTTAGCATTGGACTAGAGTTAGACGTGATTTTAGGAATTAAAGTTTTTAACCTAAAATTTAGCAAGGAATTTTTTTAATTAGAACGTAATAGGTGGTCTAATATGCAAAATCTTGAGTTACAGACGATTATTTAAAAAAGACAATGTTTTGCTTTGATTTCACATTACACCTGATCTTGCATTCTAATTGGTCGATTAAGGATAGCAATACATCGCTATTGCGATAAATTACAATGCCTTTATTTTAATATAAAATTTTTAAAAAATTTTTGGGTCTTTGTTAGGGGTTTTTTTTTAGTGTTAGGTTAGGGTTTAGGGTAGTTTTAATAATAAAAGAGTATAAGTAGATTTTGGTAGAGTTTATATTTTTAAATTAAGGTTCCTAATTTATAGCTTCAGCCATTTCCAGCTTCTGTTGCGACATAGATTAATATATGCACTGAGAAATTTGAACATTAATTAAATGTTATAATAAAATAACAAAATAATATTAATTTATTCTAACGCTAAGCAGATTAGTGAATCTGAACTACAGTAATATAGTAATAGCCAACTTCTGATAGATTGACAGATCGATCTGCTGATAAATTTTAATTTATTCATATTACCTGTATCCCATTTCACAAAGTTGATCAATATCAAGATGTTTTACAAATTAAATCTAAAAAGTCTATCTTTTGAGTCACTTGAGCCAGCACTCATTTTTTACCATAGAATTGAGTTAAAACTGTGGACTGGTGAAGAAGAAAAGGAAGTTAAGATATTTTATGACACAATTAAATACGCATTGAAAGATAAATTACTTAAAAAACAAAGGAAAGAAAAGCTATTACTTCTTAAAGAAATACCACCTGAAATCTTAAGCATACTTTAATACATTCCTGAATTTTATTTTACATAAATGATGAGTTATAAGAGATCTTAAACAACCACAGTTCAGTAAGAATGTATTTATAATTGCAAGTACTTTGCTATAACAACCACGATTCAGTAGAGATATACAGTATTTTTATTTTTCAAATCTTGAAGTAGAGTCATTCTTGTTATAGTCGGTAAACTTGCATATTTACATTTCCGAAGTGGGGCTGTCCTTGTTTTTAAATGATCAATATTCCCGGTAGTTAAAAGTGCATACAAATTTATTCTGATTTGTATAGATCGATTGCTAAGAATAATTTATTTATTACTTTAAATTGGATCTAATAATTTATTATTTTTTAGATTAAAAGTGTAGCTTCAACGGTGAATTCATTGCATGCAAATAAGATGCTTGTTATTTCTCATAAAAAAGAAAAAATACAGGATATTACAACAAATATCTTAAACTTAAAGCGGAGTGTGGAAAGTATTTTAACCTAAGATTATTATTTTTTAATGAGGTTTTTGAATAATGTATGTGGTTATAAATTAGAACTGAATTCTTCGTGGGAAATGTTCTGATAAAGAACATGATACTTATCAAGATATTTATAATATCTTGAACAAATTAGTTCTAAAGTCTGATGATAATGATTATGATTCATTAAATATGGAAGTTATAGATATCACCTCCAAGTGGGCAAGTAAATTTAAAGATACCACAGTTAATTTTGCCAAAGATACCACAGTTAATTTTGCCAAAGTAAGTAAATTTTTAGTTAATATATAGATATGAAAATTAATTATATTAATTATATATAGGGTGTGTTTTCAAAGAAATTGAAATTGGAAGAAGATTTGGTGGAAGAGTGTAAAAAAGTTATTCAAGAATCTTAAAACAACACCAATCTTAAATGGATTATTTCTAAAAGTTTTATAGCTTCCTTATGTCATTGGGTAGAAACTTTAGAGTCACAA